GAGTTATCTATACACATAGAAATCCAGAGGAAGGAAATATCCTTTCTTCCTGAATGCACATAAACTGAATTTGCGAAGTTACTATTGTGTCAATTCAAGCTGCCACCAAGGTTGTCCGTAGAAGCTTTATGCAATAATTTTAATTTTTATTCATTTGAAATGATGCACAAGCTAAAAGAAGACAACTAGAGCTATGATAAAAATGAAAAAAAAAAGGCTTAAAAATCTTACACTGATAAATACATGACACACAGAAATAAAGGGTGAATCTTGTGGCAGTCTGTAGGACTAGCACCAAATAACATAATGACGGGTCTTACGCTCAGACCAGGGTCTCTGCTGTGGGCAACTGCTACCTGTGAACATCTGGCTATCTCTGCAGATGTTTTTCTTATTTTCACAACTGAGGGATGCTGGTGGTGTCTAGTGGGTACATGCAATGGATGATTCAGTCCTGTTTTGTCTTGGTTTTGTGTGGCTTGGTCTTTATTTAAGGCAGGTGCCTGCCAGGTGGTTCAGCCTATCCTTGAGCTCACTATGTAGCCCAGGCTGGTTTTTTTTTTTGGCAGAACTGGGGATTGAACTCAGGCCCTAGGCTTGCCAGGTAAGTGCTTATTCTACTGAGCCATCTCCCCGGCTAGCCCAGGCTGGTTCTGAACCTGTTGATTCACCTGCCTCAGCCTCCCTAGAGCCCGAGATTACAGCCATGTGTCACCGCGCCCAACTCAGATTCTACACAACCTACACTGCACAAAATAGAACACAGGACTAGTAATCATCTGGCTCAAAATGCTAAGACCACTACTGTTGGAAAATCCTGGCCTACACAAATAGTGGCCGAAAGACGAGAAGACATAACTGACGAAACGGAAAACCTTAGGCCATATGGCTCAAGAATCTTTGCCATTAAGTTTAGGTAAAATTACCTGAAGCATCTGCTAAGAGGTTACTGTAGAACACAAGTGCTGTACACGCACCATGGCGCATGCATGATGTTCCCCCGGTACAATAGCTCATGTGACACATGAAACTAGAGAACAAGGCAGTATGCACAGACATAGAGCTCCTAGGAAGTTCTCTATAATCTTGTAGACATCATTAAAAGTTGTGATAACCTCACTCAACAGATTTTTCAGCATTTACTTTTTTTTCAGGCTTTTTTTTTCTTTT